TTAAAATTCCAATAAAATACTATTAAAAAAAAAAGAAAACATATATTCATTGGGCTTACTAGTGGCACTAAGCAGCGGATGGTGATTTTTCAAGAAAAATTAGTTGGGGACAGGACATGTAGAACATATTCAGCAAAAAATGACAACATCAACTGGGATCTTAACTTGGAGGGCAGGAACTCAGTTACTAAGTTTCAGTTTGATGAATTATCCATCTATGGAGATGGGAAAAGATTAACTTCTCAAACCATTTCCTCTGAAGTTCTCTTTCAGTCCAGTCCTTGTGCTAAGTTCATCCTTCTACAGGATCACAATTCTGTGACAGCAGAAGAGGAGCATGACAATATGACAGCACATAGCACTGATTAGCTTCACATATGCCACTGATTTGATTGTGACTTAAAACAGAATGGACAACATTTCAGAGGCCTTCCATGTCTCTGTGGCATCTTTGGAAAAGATGTGCCCCAAATCAGCCTATTTTGTTGCTGAATTTTTGCAGTGTGATCTCAAGATGCTGGAGTGATACTGGGGATGATATGCAGGCCACAGGTTATGGTTGTCCACTCCTGACTTAGCGCATTGTATGAATCTTTCCATTAACATTTCTTGCTATTGTCTAGTACAGTGTTTCTCAACCTTGGCAACTTTAAGTTGCCGAGGTTGAGAAACACTGGTCTAGTGTTGTTCAAAGGCTTCTTCAATAAACCATGGAAAAAACATGATGTGTGAATTCAGCTAATCATGAGCTAGATCTTTCATGCTTTCACTTATCACCCTAAGCCAAAACTGAATACATCTCATTATGGCTTATTATGATGCATTATTTTTCAGTATAAAGCCATATTATTTATAGAAGCTGCTTCTCAAAATTAGTAGCTTACAGGGCTACATAATACAGTTTGAAATTTGCATTAAGGGCAGCAATAACAAATTATCTGTCATCCAATTTAAACCTATTTGAAGGTGGGTCTATGCCATAATATTTTGCAACAGTTGCTTATAGCAACCTGCTTTGAAGCATAGACACACAGTTATTCACAGAGCAACATGAAAACAACTTGTACACAGAAGGTCTGTACAAACTTTGGGTTCAGTTTAGAAGAAGTGCTTTAGAACTTTCAGAAGTGGAATGCAACACCTATCTGCAATTTGAAAAAATACAGATTTTGAAAAAATACAGATTTGTTCCCAAGAATATCTTGGTTGCTATGAAAGCCTCTTTACAGCAGCCAAAGAATGCTTGAAAAAGACACAGGTGTTTTAATGAGTCACAGGCACGTGTTGCTCCCATGCATTCTGAAGCCCCTCTTCCAAGATGAACCCGAAACACTGCACAGTCTTACTGTAGTGATCCATGTAGATATGCTACACCATGGTTAATTTTTGCTTGCAAAACAGGATCAAGCCTAAATATCAGACCCAAACAGGAGAAAGGGAATGCACAGTCCTCTGCAGGAAGGATATTTTCTTTTTCTTTATTTTATTCTCAGATTATGTGTCTTCTGAAGTAAATCAAAACACACAGCCAGCAATAAAACTAAATTAGTTCCTTATTAGCCAGTTCCTTATTAGCACAAAAGTTTTTTATTAGCTGAATAAGAAAACTGCTTAATAGGAGAGTCTAGTTTATTTACCCTATTGAGCATAATGATAAAAGTGTAGGTATTAATTGGACATAATTATTTTGAGGACAATCCTCTGATCATGGAGACAAACTGGAAACAAGCAATAAATTTTAGCAAGGTCAAAAATTCTATGTCCAGAAAATCAGATTTATGATGGATGGATGGATGGATGGATGGATGGATGGATGAGTAAGAACTCCACTGATTTGTTTTGAAATTCTGATCAAGTTTTAATTTCTAAACACTGAAGCAGAATGTAATAATGGACTGATTACTAACAGAAATAATACTCAAAGCTATTTAGAAAAGACCATCACTGTGATACAATTAAAGAAGATATTGCTAAACATCCCCTACTTTTAATAGGCTCTTTCAAACTGCCTTGCAGCACAGTCTCATACATGTTTATTCTAAAATAAGGCCAATTCAATTCAATGGAGCTTGTTCCCAAATACGCATAGGATAATAATATGCCAATTTGTCACTTGGGGTACAATCTAATGGGACAGTTCCATTTAATTCATAGGCATGATTAAGATTGCATGGTTAATCTACCTATTTCTTCCTATTATTTGTATGCTCCACTAGCTGTACTGAGTAATTTAGTTCTGTCCAGAAAATGAAGTCTCACAATTTACCAAAGGCATATTCGCTTTGTCTACTGCATATGAAGACTTGCACCAGTCTATTTAGGCAGGTTTCTGATGTTCCAAGGCAGCCAACTACGCAATTATAATTATTTCTCTCCTTCCTAAATTTCCAATACCAGCCTTACAAAATTGATGGATTATATTATTGATTATTAAAGCCCTAAAGAACACTGGTGATGTCATATTTCAAACATTTGGATACGAAAAATGGGCTATTGGTTAGTGATGGGTTATCAACCACAAACTATGACACTGAAGCTTTCAAGAACTGCAGAATTTTTCTTCATAAATCCCAAATCAAATAACTGTTCTATTCAATGGGAACAGCTGGTACAAATGGTCTAAAAATGGTGTTGACGGCTGGGTATCTATGTGCTGCAGTCATTCTGAGTCCCAATCCTGGCTAGACACACATTTATTTGGAATAGATCTCATTTAAAACGGTAAGAATGTACCTCTAAACTGATATGCTTACAACTGCACTGCAAGGCTCTATTTAGTAGGGTTTTGACATTTTTAGTTGGCTCCCTTAATTTTACTTGTTTTTTTTAAGATCATGATGAAGCTTAGTTTTTACCGTTTTTAAACCTGAAATGCTATTTCTGCAGTCTTTCGATCGTTACTACTCTATTCATTGCTTTTAGGGTACTCAGCCGTGCCTTTCGAACAAAATAATCTTTACAAAATAACGCCTGCTCAGAAATAAACCTTGTTAAGTTCAAGAGGCATACTTTCGGTTAAATAATACAACGCTATAACACAACTGCTGCCCATGCAGCCTTTCCGATGTCGTTATTTGTTTACGCACGGATGGACATTACTACAGCGAGACCGATGGTGGAAAGGGGACGCTTCAAAACTGAGCAGACGCTGTTAATCCCAATCTGAAAAGTTTGTGCCAGTATGCAAACATCGGAATGCATTAGGCCATTTTTAAACACTGCAAGCGACAACACCCTAGAACAATTTGCAAGCAGACGCCCTTTTCCATGGGAATATACGGACTCGTTGGAAGCAGCATGAAATCGCGCAGTAACTCAAACATGAAGCAAGCTCATTCCGTTAAGTCGTTCAGCGGCAACAACCTTATCTTTCACGCAGAAACTGGTCCGAGGGGGAACGGCTCATTTCTCACGCTCGCCAACCTAAAGTAACGAGAGTCTCCCTATCATCACCCCTCGGATGAAGCAAATGTGTTTCTCCTAAAAAAGCCTCTGCTGACAAATCAGCCAGACTCCTGCTAGCCGACCCCTTTCCTCTGACATCAGCGTGCGCTGGATCGCAGTCCTGCGACGACACACTTTTGGGGCTTGCCTGTCTCCCACTGGTTATGTACATTTATTTATTAGAAGTACTTCTATGCTGCTTCCCATTGCAAAGAATCTCCAAACGGTTTTTCTTGATAAGGGGGGGGGGAGCCCATACTTACCTATATCGGTGTGCTTTGAGCTTTCAGTAAATGTATCAACCCCCCTGAGCTATTCTTAAAGTGGAAGGAAGAGATCGGACGACCAGATTCCAAAGGATCAGACCCAAATCTCCCCTTTCAGCATTCGCGGCAAACCCCGCCCTCCCCCGTAGACCTGGGATAGCTCGTGCGCGCCCCTGTATGTGCGAGAAACAGATAGACGGGGAGGGAGACGAAAAATACAACTCTGGAGCATGCTGGGAGATAGAGTCCTGACGCGCCTATCTTTCGCAAAGCATTGCTGGGAATATCATTGAACTTTCGAGGCATACAGAGGCGGGAAGGAGAGAAGAAACTGAGAACCCGCAAAGGTCGCAAAGCTTGTCGGGAAAACGGCGGAAGGACCCGTTCTTCCGCATAGCCTCTTGGAACATGTAGTCCGTTATGAATAACGGCTCTGCTCGGTTTTCCGTTCATTTCTCACCCTTCTACTTTGGGCCACCCAGGAGGAAGGGCCGTGCTCCAGCTAACGCGAGGCTGCATGATTCGAGGGCTCACTTGCGGATGTGAATGCCCGGCGGAGAGAGGCGCTCAGGCGGGTTTAAGACGTCTCTTTGGGGTCCTTCCCTCTGGGTGAGAGGTTGTCGCGAGGGGGCCTGCGAGCGCGAGGGAAGAGGCGTGCGCTTCGCTGTGCTGCCGGGCAGCCGCTGCCGATTAACGGGTCGTTCACTGGGTCATTGGGAATCGCTCCCAGCTCGCCCTAGACATGTCCTACTGCAGGCAAGAAGGTACCGGGGCGAGGAAAGAGGGAAGGGGCTGCGCGAGGAGGAAGCTTATGTAGGAAAGGTTACTAAGTTCCGGGCAGATACTGTAAGACTGATCCATTCCGATCCAGGTCTGGTAGGAAGAGGTGCCAGCTTACATAAAGGCTGAATGTATATAATGGCAATAATTTGCCAAAACATAATTGTAAACGCATGCAGAAAGAAAATTAAATTTAGCACGATACTTAGTTAACTTTTTCCTTTGCCTCTGGAGAATAAACTGTCTTGGAGTAAATGGTAACCTCTGAGCCAGTATTTATTACCTGCAAAATGCTGCTTTCTGCAAATTCTAGCTTAAATTTGAGGTTGGGGGGAGATGGTAATCCAGCATTTTTTTTTCTTATTTTAATAGGAGAGAAACTTTTTTTTTCCTTATAGAAAGGGAAGGGTTTGTGGGGGGGGGGGATCTGCTTATTATGGTCATAAGAGCACCAAGAAAACAAAGCAAAAGGTCAACAGACAAATCAGCTCAGAGTTCTCACTTTAGTGCTGGGAAAGGTAGAAGGAAAGAGAAGAGGATGACCAGCAGCAAGATGGATGGACTCAGTTACAGTGGCAATGAGTGCCATAGCTGTCTCGGATACCATTAAAAGTAAAAAGCTGGAAACATAATAAAATATGTATGTCAGTTATTTAAATGCAGTTTAAGTAAATTAATATCTGATTAGTTTTCAAAGTAAGTTCAAAAGGGTTTTGGTATTTTTTGCTATAATTTTACTTAAAACTATTGCAAAAAAATAATTTGATTTTATCTGGGACACTGATTGATCGGTTATGTGCCATCAAGTCATTGTCGACTCTTAGTAACTACATAGATTTTCTCCATGATGATCTGTCTCTAACCTGGTCCTTCAGCTCTTCCAACCACGTCCCCATCGCCACTGTAACTGAGTCTATCCATCTTGCTGCTGGTCATCCCCTTCTTCCCTTTCTTTCACCTTTCCCAGCATTAGAGCCTTCTCCAGAGAACTAGGTCTTTGTATAATGTGTCTGAAGTAGGATAATTTGACCCTCCTTATTTGTGCCTCGAGTGAGAACTCTGAGCTTTGAACACTGGGTTGATTTGTCCAGTAATCCATTTGTTTGTTTTATTGACTGTCCATGGTATTCTTAGGAGTGAGAATATAGACATACTGTAGATATATTTTATTATTCTGTAAAGTTAATCTCTTACCTTTTAATTTGCATGGATTTTTTTACTATCTTGAGATTCTGGAGAAAAGGCTGGTTATATATCAAATAAATAACCAGAGCAGAGTTCAGACCCTTTCTTCCTTGTTCCCCTCCAGGTTTGTTTTCTTTGCCATCGTTGCTCTTTGTCTTGTGCTGTTTTGTGTTTTTGTATTGTTCTTTGTTTTTAAATGCTTTTAACGATTGTAAACTGCCCAGATCGGCATATAAATTTAATAAATTATTGTTGTTATAGCCTCAGCTTGTGGTGGCATCAATTTGATTAGAACATTCACAGACCATCAGTGTTGGACTACACCCAGCAGGCAGCACTGTAACTAATTAGGAAGCCTTGCAAGAAACCAAGAACTGATGAGTTATTATTTACTGAAGAAAGATAGGATGTCATAATCAAAGAATTCTAGCAACTGCTGTGTTTTAAAACCAAGCCCTATGTATAGAAACATTAAAATCTTCTGCATCTCTTTCTCATTTCTGCTGTGCATAATGGACTGCTTCTCTTTTTCATGTGAGAGGGCTGCTTTCAACAAAAACAAGGATGACCCTTGTTTTTGCAACAGTTAAGTTTGGTATTGTATTGTTTCTTACTGAATGTGAGAACTACTTTTAAAAAAATAGAAGGAAAAAAACTGGATATATCTTTTACTATATGCTTTACTGCTTAAATTAGGTTTTTATGCATTCCTCAATTTCCCCCCTCACCTTTTACCTTTCTCAGACAACAATTTGCATTTCCTTTAGTTTATGCTATAAGTGTCACAGATATAAAGAAAATCTGCCATTCATGCTGCAGTTAAAAATTAGATTTCTATATTTTTTATGTTCAGAGCCCTTCTCATATCTTGGTAATAGCTGTACTAGTAATCTTAAGACTGTGTAAAATGGGCTAGTATTAATATCTCTGTTGCAGATGGGGATTAATGCTATTAGAATGGTTGCTTGCTGAGGGCTTTTAATGCATTTGTGGCTGAGGTGAAGCCATGACTCAAATGTCTTAATTTACACTCATAATATCCCTGGTATCTTGGCATTAGGTCCTACATAGCTATGGTTTTGGATGTTCTAGTGTTTCTTCAATACTTAATAAGTGAACTCTCAATTTCAGACTTCTAATGGGACATAACTGTCAATTGCTAGAGCAACATTTGAACTATAACTCATAGTAAGCTTAACTGCAGCAAAAAGTTGTAGTGTGGACTACTTCTGTTAAGATACCTTTCCATTCATTCTATACCCATCCACAGCTTTGTAGTTTCTTCCCTTTCAATAGTCAGCTTGGATGTCGTGCCCACTGTGTCTGTTTAGTCTTCATTGTGCTGTTTTGGGGTCTTTGTATATAGGTAATCCCCAGTTTAAGAACAAGTTCTGTTCCCAAGCTCTGTTCTTAAGTCAAATTTGTATGTAAGCCAGAACAGTATTATTGTATAATACTGTATAAGTAGTATTGTGTAATTAACTTGAACCATTGTATATATTTAACTCAAATTATTGTGTATTTAAGTCGTATTTTGCTACATTAGGCTCTGTTCTTAACTATGGGTCATCTGTAAACTGGGTGTTCTTAACCCGGGGGCTACCTGTACTAGTAATCTTAATAATCATAGTATTAATATGCAGATTAAAGACATACATGGAGTGTTGACAGAATATTTGAGTTACATAAGCCTGTTGATCTGGAGACTTTACATTAGTACATTTCCCTTGTGGGAGTTGCTTTTCTAAATTATCTTTGAGTAAACTTAGACTAGTATTGTGCTAATTGGCTCCAGTGTGGTTCCTATGAAGTGCCTGGAAAAATATTGCTGCTACAAAGTTGTTTAATGCTTTAGTTATCTTGAAAGGAATTCTGGAAAGCCTCTCCTTAGATATGCTGTTAAGTGCTTTCACAGTTTTTTGGGGTTAGACAGGGGAATGCCTCCTAGGAAAATCTCAGCTGTAGGGTCATCAAAAGATAATTAGTTCATGTGATGTATTTGACTTATTCCATCTCCACACTGTAAAATCACAACAAATTGATTCACAATGAAATTTAAATTACTGTACTGCCATCATATGTTTACTACTATCTTTTTCTAAAGCATTTGTACAAAGTAATCTGATTTTTAAAATTAAGACAGCCTTTAACTCTCAAGTTTGGTATTGAGTCATGGACTTCCGGGGGAGGTATAGCAAACTGAAGATGGCTCTGCGAAAGTGGAACCGATGACCCTGGCAAAGACCGAGGAACCATAACTAGGCTGGAACTTCACCAGATAAGGAGAGGATGGGAGATCAGCCACATGTGCTCTGCACAGCTGCTCCTCACAAAGAGACTGTAGGACAGCAGTTTTCCCCAGCTTTGAGTGCCGGGAGATGACAGGATTAGCCATCTTGCTCACAACCATGGCGAAGACTTTTCAAGGACACTAAGTTTGCAAACTTCACTTTCTAATCACTTTTGGAAATTGCTGATTAACTGCATTTAAGACACTAATAAGATGCTTGATGAGTCTGCCTTCAATCCTGAGTGACAGAAAATTTTAATCATAAACTTAAGAATTTAAAGAATCTGAAATAAACAGCAAAAAGCTAATAAGATTTTGATCTTAGAAAGTTATAAATGGACTAAGGGTCCAGATAAACTTGGAATATTGAAACTTTTACAATAAGATTTTAGAATTAATTATAAAGGACAAACAGCTTCTCATGGGAAATAGATTCTGTTTTGGTTTTTACAAGACCCAACAAAGATAAGCAATTTCATGATTTCAAAGACTGGACACTAGAGGGGACTAAAGTTTTTAGGTAGGGGAAAGATCTACGAGCCTGTAAAATGTTGCAAAATGTTATCACAATGAAAATTGTGATTTTCATTTCATGGATGAAAAAACTTATTTTTGCAGCTAAAGTTCTAAGCATGTTTAAAAGTAAGTCCTACTGTATTTACTTGATTTACTCTCAGGAAAGTTTGCATAAGGTTAGAACCTCAGCTGCTCTGTGTGTTTTCCATCTTCATTCATCAGTTTTTGAGGCAGCAACATATCTGTGCTGCTTCTCCTATGGTTTTTTGGGAGAGACTGCCTTGGCTTTTGTGAGCTGTGTCTTCTTATGCAAAACTCATGTTGCTATGCATACGATCATGTTTCAGGGGTAGCACTTTCTGCCCCATTGTTTTCTAGCACTGTCTTCTGTAGTACACAAACCAAGAGCAAATGACTTAGAGATTAATCAAGATTATCATCTTGATAATATTATTATCTTGCACTTTTTACTTCTTCCTATTCTTTTCTTTTTTCTTTTTTTAAGTTTAAGCGTAGAAAGGAAGGGAAAGAATCCATAGAGTAGACCTAGAATCGGTCAGCAGATCTGAAACAGGGAGTGCTTGAGGAAAGAAGACATTGTCCCTGGGCCACAATGTGCAAAGCCACAATATTTGCAAGGTCACTTTTAGGGTAATCTGAAGGTTCAATCCATCAAGAAGGTCTCCTGCAAAAGAATTGCATTGAAATTAATGAAAAATGAAATTTCATTTCATGTGATTTCATTTCATAGAGAGCCAGTTTGGTCTAGTGGCTGAAGTACCAGGCTAGAAAGCAGGAGACTGTGAGTTCTAGTCCCACCTTAGACATGAAAGCTGGCTGGGTGACTTTGGGCCAATCACTCACTCTCAGCCCAGCTCACCTCACAGGGTAGTTGTTGTGGGGAAAAAAGGAGGAAGGAGGAGTATTAGGTATGTTTGCCATCTTGAGTTATTTATAAAAATAATAAAGGTGGGACAAAATATCTTAAAAAAAAATGTTGAAGGAGACTTTTGAAGAATGGAGTCAGAAAATAGTAGCTGCAATATCAACAATGTCAGTAATGTCTGCTTTGATGGATAGATTATGTCCAAAAGATGTTATTGAAGAAATGACAGATGTAGAACAAATTTTAT